GTCAAAAAATTTGTAAACCAAGTTACACAAATAATTGGTATCTTTTTCTTAGAATCAGAAAATTCCCTTCGAAACCAGTCATCCAAAATTTCCGGAAAGATATTCAATAATTCAAAATTATTAGATTGAGATATAAGTTCCATTGAAATTATGGCGTCATCACTGCGCCAGTTCAGGTTACCATTTCGTAGCAAGTTCTGTATAGCAAAGATATTTGGATTTGTCCACTTGCTACTTGGACTACTAAGTAATAAAAAGACACGATCACGGAAAACGCTAGAAACATTTTCTCGGAAAATTTTAGGGATATCTTTAAAATGGTTTGCTAAAGCAACAGCATCATCAACAGAAATATTCTCTTGAATTCGATCGATAAAACACTTGAGAATATTTTTATCGTTCACTTCACGACACGAAAGTACATCACTCCAAAGTTTAAGAAGTCCGTCCATATCTTGACATAATTCAATTAACCACTAATATAATTATAATAAAGTTAATACGTACGACATTTTCTAGAGAGAATAATCATATTCAAATTACCTTAGCAAGTTTTTCAAACTTATGGTTGTCAATATAAGGCATAACTACTTTAACTTCTTCAATAAATTTTGTTAATAAATGGTTATTCGGATATTTTAAGGTTCTTAAGCGATCAATGAACATATAATTAGACTCAACTACAACATCGATTGTAAAAACCTTTAACCAATTAAATTGCATTTTAAAAGCATTATGATGAATTAATGTTGTAATAGCATTATACATTGGATCTTTAGTATCTGATGGTAATACTTCTTGCTTATAACCCTCAAGTGCATCTAACAATAAATCAGATGGAAATTGATTCGGTAATTCATAAATTGTATTTTGCCTTGAAACATAATATCCTAAGAGAAGACATGAGAAAAGTCGTTTTTCTCTTAATTTATCATCAATATGATTGATAATAAAATTTGGTTCTGACACACGAATCGTAAGTTCATTGTAAATAGATAATAAATATTGATACTCCAAAACTTTATCCTTTAAGTTATTAACATTGACAGAATTATAAATATAATCAACAAAAGCAAAGTCGCGTATATATTTTGGGAACAAGCGAAATTTGTTAGGCAGATCATAAGTATTTTTCCATATACCGAATTGATCAATTCTCATAATATCCAAAGTGCGATTTTCTCGATTGCTATTTCCTTCGAGGATATTTTTTTCGCTTTCTTTTTCACAAATAGCGTACTTGTATTGAATATCATATCCTTCAGTAGTAATTGATACAGAAATTTTAACCGAGTCAGATCGCCAATATGTAGGACTTTGAGGAAGTGGCTGATGAAGTTTTATATTGGGTTGTTCCCAAAATCCTAATTCTTGTCCATCACCGAGAACTACGGGTTGACCAATTTTATCAATATTTTCTGGCATATGAACATGGAATATAAATATAATTTCATCCTCATTCTTGCGATCTTTCGATATAAATCCTCCTCCTGTGAAAACAACTACGTTAGTAAATATAATTAATGCCACGTGAAGAATGCAATTCAAAAAATCTTTTTAATCCTTGTAAATGTATGCTTACCACTATAGTCGTTATTAAGATTCTCAGAGGATTCCATTAATCGTTTGTAAAAAAAAACACTCCTGCAATTAAAAAAATAATTATTTCATCACATAAATGTTAAGCGAAAGAAAAAATTCGCACAATGGTATAATATAAAATTTTGTCCCTATTGTTTACAAATATGTTCAGTCTACGCCTAAAAATTATCAACAGGTTAATTACCGGTTAAAATTCTTTAACCGGTTACTTCTGTTTTCACAAGACCTGGGCTGGGGCAAAATAAATTTGGCGGTCTGCCGATCCGGTATTGGCAAAATTTATTTTGTTCCAGGTCTCAGTAATCGGTTAAATTTAACTCGGGCCAGTACTATTAATTTGGGCGGAGCTAGCAAAATTCTTGTAATCAATTTTAACCAGTTAAAAGAAAATCTTTACAAAATAAATTTTATAGCCTAACCGCTAGCCTGCATATCCGGTATTAACCTTATAAACTTATGGTATTGATCACTTAACATTAGGAAGTAATATGTATAATTAATTAAGATTGCTATGAAATAAGTTATGTCAACCAGATTTATATTCAATATACATATAAACACACAGAAGAATAAATATAGTTTATAGTTTAGAAAAAAGATTTTTTATTGTAGAATTTGTACTCTTAGATCCTTTACCATTGGATTCTAAAACTCCTAAAAGTATACATCACTTAATAAAATCTCGTTAAATCAATTTTTATAAAAGATTTGACTTTATATTCGAACATAAAAATTTGTTATATAGAACTTATAAATTTTAATAAATATATTTTTTTTAAAATATTTCATAGTAAACCAGAGTATAAGTTTGACTATAATTAAATATTTTAAATAATAAAACTATGCTAAGTATAAAAATAATAACCATAAATAAATAATATAAAAAATATAAAAAAGCTAAAAATGTTAAAATGTTAGTTAATTATATAAACAATTGTAATACAGTAGCATAAATATTACAATCTTATTTATATGCATTAAATACATTAAAAAAAAAGTTCGTCCAAAGAATTAGAGGTTGGAACCAGTCCAAAAATCCTTTAACCGGTTAATAACCGGTTAAAAAAGTCTTTAACCGGCTAATTAACCGGTTAAATTTAACTCAGGCCGGCACTATAAATTTGGGCAAAACTAGCAAAAATTTGTAATCACAAAAAATTTTAATTCTGCCTGAAATTAAATTTTGGCCAGAGTTAAGATTAAATATTTTAGCCGGTAAAAAAAGATCTTTAACCAAAGAAAAAGTTAATTTTCAGTGACAATTAATTGAAAATTTAATTAAGGATTGAATAATTCAAAAGATCTAATCCAAAAATGTTTTAACTACATACATACTGTTTGAAAAATTAGGAAAAAGTATTGATGTAATTAAAGAGGTAGTTGTAAATAAATCAAGTAATTCACTAATAGTAGTTATTTTCTATATGTATACATTAAGTGATAAATTGATCTTGAATAGAAGGAAATTTTTATATGATGATTGTAAGTGATTGAATAAACTAATAATTTGCGAGCTAAATGTTGAATAATCATGTCAATAAAATAGAAATGTACATATTAGACAATATATTGTTGCAAATTATACATAAAGTAATCTTTAACAAAGTAATATTAAGTGCAAAATTTTGCAAAAACTTCGTTGATATTAAAAAAAATAAGTTTTTTTATTTAAATTTTTATATAAATTATTCTCTATTTTATTGTTTTAACTAATAAATTAATTTTGTTTATAAATAATCTATAAACCAAATAATTATTACATCAAATTAATTCAACTTTTTTTATTTCAAAATGGTTTTTCAAAGTATTAAAAATAACAAAAAAAAATACAAATACATGCAAAGAGAAAGAACAAATATAAGATTATCTTAATAAAAATATTCTCCAAAAAAAAATATCTCATAAGTATATAAAAAAAAATTTTAAATAAAATACCTCAAAAAAATTAACTAATAAGTAAAGTATGCAAAAAAAATCAGTTAATTTTCTATTTTCTATAAAGAAAATTACTATAAAAAAGAAATAAGACAATGAAATTCCAAAACAATAACTTTTTTTTATTAAATACAAAATACAAATTGTACTTTTTAGTTTTAGATAAAATATGCTTATCATCCAACGATATCATTGGTATAAAATTTTATTCAACTTCGTTTTGAAGGTTTATCAAATGACACAATTATAGATTATGCGATGATTCTAAAGTTTAGAAAAAAAAATTAAAGTATTCATTGATGTTGCAACTAATTTCTTCATCTTTAAAAGTCAAACTATACATCTTTCAATATGATGAATATAGTCATCAATTTTTATTGTTATTAGAATTTAACTATCACAGTGAAAATTAAATTTAGAGATTAATGTTAATTAATAACATCTGCTCTCTATGGACAAGTGAGTCAAATGTGGAACTCAAATAAAATTTAAACTGGCGATTAACATGAAGAATATGAAAAATACAGAGATAGATGCAAAGCGATGAAAATTTTCCCAAACAATACATATCAACTGAATATATTTTATTCCGTAAATATTTTGTTGTAAATTATAATCAAATCATTTTCATTTGTTAAAAAATTATTAATTGTAATGTCGCAAAAATGATAGAAATTTAAAGTGTAGTCCAATGAGATTCTATTTCGGAAAGTCGAAAATACTGTTATAGTCTGTATGACCAGGCCACTGATGTTTCGACCAACTACCCAAATATTGCCTCCACATTTTCAGCTCATGTGTTTATTGGTGGTCATTATGTAAGGATACAATGAAAAATATGATCGTGGGATTTTCATGAGCTTATTATAAATAATAAGGTTGTGTTAAACCTTTTAAATCTCTAATTATTTTATGAAATAATTCATATAAAATAATATTTATTAATTAAATAATCCGCTATTAGAAGGTTTATTTTTGTACAAAAATAACAGAAGAAACTTAGTTTTATTTATCCTATAGATTCGGAAAAGTAGTTTATTGATCATCTCATCATTATGAAAACGCAAAAGAAGATAAATTAAACTAGAGGTTGGAACCGGTAAAGAAGTTTATTTTGTTAACCGATTAAAATCTTTAATTCTAACTCAGGTAGAAATTTTATTTTCGGGCTGAATTAAAATTTTTTGTGATTACAAAATTTCGCTAGTTTTGCCCAAATTTATAGTTGCAGGCCTGAGTTAGATTTAATCGGTTATTAACCGGATAACGATTTTTGGACCGGTTCAAACCTCTATGTTAAACTATTAATTTTTAAAATTTAGGTTCTGTTATATATGTAATAATTATTACCGCGATATCATAGCCTACGTGCTACAAATGGCTGTGAAAATCTTTTTTGTAACTTAAAAATAAATATAAATGATTAGGACAAGACTAGCAAATGGTTCTCGTTCCTGAATCTTTTCGTCAATATCACTACATTACATTTTCCTTCGCTCATAAAGTTTAAAATGAAATCAAATAATTTACTGCTTTGTTTCTAAATAATTATCAAAAATTAAAATCTACAAATCTAAAAAAAATGTTATAATTGAGAAAATAATTTAATGTTTGGAATTTATTCAAACATTCAAACATGTCATTTGTTTTAAATTTACTTCTTTTGGGTTTGGATTGTTCCGCGCGTAAGATTGGATCTTTTTTATTTTATTTTTTTATTTTCATTTTAATTTTTATTTCGGGTCGAGTGTCGCTGATTAAGAATAAAACACCTGATTTCTATCGACAGAAGAAATTCATTATTTTGCTAATTATATTTTCTTTTTTTATACTTGGAAATAGCCGGTATATATTTTGTTAGCGCATAATCAAATTTCCAAATCATGCATTTAACGCAGTATCACTCATAAACAATTTTTAACGTCAACATTCCTGAATTCATTTTTGCGCAATATTTGATATATAAAAATCTATATAAAAATCTCCTTCAATCACTTGTATTCCTAATAAAAGATTTCATAGTAGCATCAGATAGTTTTTTGCATTGTTTATATTTTTCGGAATTACAAGTGCTGAAAAATTAGTAGTCATAAAGGAAAAAAAAATAATTCATTTAGAAGGAACAAGGTAAAGTCGAATTGTAGTCGATTAATTTCTTCAGAATTCAAGGATTAAACTATATGGGGGCTTGTCAATAGAAAAGGAGGAAATCTATTTTTAACCCCAAAAATTTTATTGGCTTATTTGATAGAAAATATCACAGGAACAAAGTTAGCTTAATAAAAATAATGTCATACATTAATAAGTTTTTAAGATATCGCCAATTGATTGATATTGATCGACATCAGCTTAAATATTGAAGTTTGCCTAATCTGGTTAAGGAGACAATGCACTCTATTTTTAACCTTTTTTTTTTTAACATATTTGTTTATACAGATTTTTTTTACATCGTTTTTCTGAGCAGTTATTTTAGCGGGATTTATGCTAGCAACTTTCCTTAATCGCCAAAGTTAGTAAAATATGAAGTTCTAGTTTCAAAATAAATAATATAATTTTTTTCTAGATAAGTGAATTTTGTAAAAATAATTATTCAAAAGAATATATGTTATAATTACATCGAAAGATAATATTAGCGATCGATATTTGGGATGTCTGTTATGCTTTGTCCTAAAAAGGTATAGCTTTTAAGTAATTATAGGAACTTTTGTAACAATTTGTTTTAAATTTTATTCACGTTATTGTTTTATAGGTTGAAATTCTAGAATAATAGATTTCTTTAGCTTCCGATAAGTTCAAATCGTAACTTTTATATTTTTTATGAAATGTTGAGAGTTGGTGCATTTTTAAAGAACGTAAGCGCATTTGTTCATTAAAAATGATGATACAAAGCTCGTATTAGTGTTTAAATTATTCTTATTATTTGACATTATTAATAGGATTAGTATTTATTGATCTGACCTTTATTTTTTATAGGATATGAATTTAAGATATCTTGCTCTTAACCATACAGCAAATATATAACCTTAGTAACCTTTTAATTGGACATTAAATGGATTTTTATCTCGACATTCATCTAATGGTA